GGAGTCTCTATTGTTTTAAAGGTGGATGTTTACTGCTATAAAATTCCATGTTAGTACTACTTTTTCTGTATCCGATAGATTCTGGTATGTTTTGTTTCTACTTTTATTTTTTTCAAGAAATTTCTAAATTTCCTTCTTAATTTCTTCACTGACCAACTGGTTGCCTGGAAGCATGTTGTTTAATTTCCATGTATTTGTACAGTTTCTAACATTCTTCATTTCATTGACTTAATAGTTTTACTCTATTGTGGTCAGAAAAGAGACTTGATATGATTTCCACTTTTTTGTATTTGTTGAGACTTGTTTCATGTTCTAACATATGGATTATCTGTCCTGGAGAATGTTCCATGTGCTGATAAAGAATGTGTATTCTGTAGCAGTGGGATGAAATATTCTGTAAATGTCTATTAGGTCCATTGGGTGTACACTTTCACTCTGATGTTTCTTTGTTGATTTTCTGCCTGGAGGATCTTTCCATTGTCAAAAGTTGGGTGTTGAAAACCCCTATTATTGTTGCATTGCAGTCTATCTCTCCCTTTAGATCTATTAATATTTGCTTTGTATATTTGGGTGCTCTGGTTTTGGATGAATATATATTTACTACTGAATATCCTCTAACTGAATTGACCTCTTCATCATTATATAATAACCTTATTTATCTCTTTACAGTTTTTAAAGTCTATTTTAGCTCATATAGTTACTCCTTTTTTTGTTTGTTTCCTTTGTATGGAATATCATCTTTCTATCCCTTCACTTTCAGTCTAAGTGTATCTTTATAGGTGAAGTGAGTTTCTTGTAGACAGCATATTGTTGGGTTTTCTTTTTAATACATGCAGCCACTTTTTGTTTTTTAATTATAGAATTTAGTCCACTTACATCCAATGTTACTATTGATAGATAAGGCCTCACTGCTGCCATTTTGTTACTTGTTTACTAGTTGTATGTAACTCCTCTCTTCCTTTCTTTGTGGTTAAGTGATTTTTCTCTAGTAGTATGTTTTAGTTTGCTACTTTTTATTTTTAGTCTATCTGTTATGGGTTTTAGCTTTGTAGCAACCATTAAGCTTACAAAGCACATCCTACAGTTGTAACGTATATTTAAAACTGATAGCAACTTAATTTTGATCACAAAAAGCAAAGAAACAAAAAACCTGAACAGATTAACTCCCTTCTTCCTCCACATTTAAAATTTCTGATGCTACCCATTACTGTTTGTTATTGCCTGTCTCCTAACACATTATTTTCATTATTGCTTTAATGGTTTTGTCTTTGAGTATTCTTACCAAAGATATAAGTGGTTTAATTACCACAATTACAATATTAATATAATAATTACATTAGAGTCCTTTTCTTTCAGTTTAAAGAATTTCCTTTAGCATTTTTTGTGGGACAGTTCTGGTAGCTATAAATATAAAGTCTGTCTGTGACAGTCTTTATCTCTCCATTTCTGAAGAACTTTTATTGATACAGTATTCTTGGCCATTTTTTCCCTATGGCACTCTGAATATTACTGTCTTACTCCCTCCTGGCCTGAAAAGTTTCTGCTGATGCCAGGAGTATTGGATCTCCCTTATATGTTATTTGCCTCTTTTCTCTTGCTGTTTTTAGAATCCTCTCTGTCTTTGATTTTTGCAAGTTCAATGTAATACATCCTGGGATATTCTTATTTGGGTTGAATCTGAATGATGATCTTTGACCTTCCTGACTTGGGTATTTGTGTCTTTCTCCAGGGTTGGAAAGCTTTCTGTTATTATTTCTTTGAATAGGCTTTCTACCCCTTAACTTTCTCAGTTCCCTCTTTAACTCCAATAATGAATATTTTCCTTGTTGATGCTGTCTCACAGATACTGTAAGCTTTGTTCATTCTTTTCTATTCTTTTTTTCTCCTCTGTGTATATTCAAATAATCTATCACTGATTCAATCTTCTGTTTGATTAATTCTGCTATTGATGCTCTATATTGCATTTTTCATTTCATTCATTGTATTTTTCAACTCCAGGATTTTTGTTTGCTTTTTTAAAAATTTTTCAATGTATCTATTAAATTTTTCTGACTTTTTAATGATCACCAGTCTAACTGGCATGAGATGGTATCTCAATGTGGTTTTGATTTGCATTTCTCTAATGAACAGTGATGACGAGCTTTTTTTCATATGTTTGTTGGCTACATAAACGTCTTCTTTTGAGAAGTGTCTGTTCATATCCTTCACCCACTTTTTGATGGGGCTGATGGTTTTTTTCTTGTAAACTTGCTTAAGTTCTTTGTAGATTCTGGATATTAATTCGCCTTTTGTCAGATGGATAGATTGCAAAAATTTTCTCCCATTTTGTACGTTGCCTGCTCACTCTGATGATAGTTCCTTTTGCTGTGTAGAAACTTTTTAGTTTAATTAGATCTCATTTGTCAATTTTGGCTTTTGTTGTCATTGCTTTTGGTGTTTTAGTCATGAAGTCTTTGCCCACGCCTACGTCCTAAATGGGATTGCCTAAGTTTTCTTCTAGGGTTTTTATGGCTCCAGGTCTTATGTTTAAGTCTTTAATCCATCTTGAGTTAACTTTTATGTAAGGTGTAAGGAAGGGATCCAGTTTCAGCTTTCTTCATATGGCTAGCCAGTTTTTCCAACACCATTTATTAAATCGGGAAACCTTTCCCCATTGCTTGTTTTTGTTGGGTTTGTCAAAGATTAGATGGTTGTAGAGGTGTGGTGGTATTACTGATGCCTCATTGGTCTATGTATCTGTTTTGGTACCATGCTGCTTTTGTTACTGCATCCTTGTTGTATAATTTGAAATCAGGTAGTGTGATGCCTCCAGGTTTGTTCTTTTTGCTTAGGATGGTCTTGGTTATGTGGATTCTTTTTTGGTTCCATATAAAATTTAAAGTAGTTTTTTTCCAATTCTGTGAAGAAAATAAATGGCAGTTTGATGGGGATGGCATTGAATCTATAAATTACTTTGGGCAGTATGGCCATTTTCACAATATTGATTCTTCCTATCCAAGAGCATAGAATGTTTTTCCATTCTCCTTGAAGAGGTCCTTCACATCCCTTATAAGTTGTATTCCTAGGTATTTTATTCTCTTAGTAGCAATTGTGAATGGGAGTTCACTCGCTATTTGGCTCTCTGTTTGTCTGTTACTGGTGTGTATAAAATGCTTGTGATTTTTGCACATGATTTTGTATCCTGTGACTTTGCTGAAGTTGCTTATCAGCTTAAGACTTTGGGCCGAGATGGGGTTTTCTAAATATACAACCATGTCATCTGCAAACAGAGACTATTTGACTTCCTCTCTTCCTATTTGAATACCCTTTATTTCTTTCTCTTGTCTGATTGCCCTGGCAGAACTTCCAATACTATGTTGAATAGGAGTGGTGAGAGAGGGCATCCTTCTCTTGTGCCAGTTTTCAAAGGGAATGCTTCCAATTTTCCCATTCAGTATATTGGCTGTGGATCTGTCATAAATAGCTCTAATTATTTTGAGACAGATTCCATCATTACCTAGTTTATTGAGAGTTTTTAGTATGAAGGGCTACTGAATTTTGTCAAAGGCTTTTCTGCATCTATTGAGATAATCATGTGGTTTTTGTCATTGGTTCTGTTTATGGGATGGATTAAATTTATTGATTTGCATATGTTGAACCAGGCTTGCATCCTGGGGATGAAGCAGACTTGATCATGATGGATAACCTTTTTGATGTGCTGCTGGATTCAATTTGCCAGTATTTTATTGAGGATTTTCACATTGATGTTCATCAGGGATACTGGCCTGAAATTTTCTTTTTTTGTTGTGTCTCTGCCAGATTTTGGTATCAGGATGATGCTGGCCTCATAAAATGAATTAGGGAGGATCCCCTCATTTTGTATTGCTTGGAATAGTTTCAGAAGGAATGGTACCAGCTCCTCTTTGTACCTCTGGTACAATTTGGCTGTGAATCTGTCTGGTCCTGGACTTTTTGTAGTTTGTAGGCTATTAATTGCTGCTTCCATGCTGGAGAGGATGTGGAGAAACAGGAATGCTTTTACACTGTTGGTGGGAGTATAAATTAGTTCAACCATTGTGGAAGACAGTGTGGTGATTCCGCAAGGATACAGAACTAGAAATGCCATTTGACCTAGCAATGCCATTACTGGGTATATACTCAAAGGATTGTAAATCATTCTACTGTAAAGACACATGCACACCTATGTTTACTGCAGCACTGTTCGCAATAGCAAAGATTTGGAAACAAACCAAATGCCCATCAATGATAGACTGGATAAAGAAAATGAGGCACATATACACCATGGAATACTATGCAGCCATAAAAAAGGATGAGTTCATGTCCTTTGCAGGTACACAGATGAAGCTGGAAACCATCATTCTCAGCAAACTAATACAAGAACAGAAAATCAAACACACATGTTCTCACTCATAAGTAGGAGCTGAACAATGAGAACACATGGAGACAGGGAGGGGAATATCACACATCAGGGCCTGTTGGGAGGTGGGGGCTTAGAGGAGAAATAGCATTAGGAGAAATATCTAATGTAGATGATGGGATGCAGCAAACCACCATGGCACATATATACCTATGTAACAAAACTGCACATTCTGCACATGTACCCCAGAACTTAAAGTATATTTTTAAAAGATACAAAGACAATTATGCATATTTTAAAGTATAGGTATAAAACAGATAGCAACTAAACATACACTATATGCTTATTAATAATAAAATCTTTTTTCAAAGAAAAAAATAATTTTTCTGATACATATCTGAATTGATTTTTTGGAATTTCATTGAGTCTCCTTAAAGCAGCTATTTTGAATTATCTGTCTGAGAGATCACGCATCTCTCTAACTATAGGGCTGGTCTCTGGCACCTTGTTTTAACTCATTTGTGAAGTCATATTTCCCTGAATGTTCTTGGTGCTTGTAGAAATACAACAATATCTGCACATTTAGGAATTAGGTATTTATTTTTGTCTTTGCATCCTGGCTTTGTTTGTGCCTGTCCTTCAGAGGGCCTTCTGGATTCTAAGCTGACTGACTGTTGTGTTCCCTGAGTCTGTGATCACTGCAGCCATCTCAGCACTAGAGGACACTCCAAGCCCAGGCTTGCCATGAGTTTCATGAGGACTTTGAGGCTGACATGGCTTTCCCACCCAGATGGACCTAGGAAAGACCCAAGAAGGATACTGGACTGACGGACCTGAGTCCAGAAAACTGTCCTGTGGCCCAGACAAGTGTGTCTCCTAGCAGCTCTCTGCAGTTCTCAACTGCAGCAAGAGGAGATGGAGTTGAGACTGGACCACGTCAGGATCTGCTGTGGGAAGGAGCTGGTGGGCCTATCTTATTGTCTCAGATGTGCATGCATCACCCAGCTGGTCCCTGTATGAGTTGGGTAGTTCCTAGACTGCAGTAGTAGGGGCTAGAGCTGAGACTGGGCCCCATCATGAAATCTGCTATGAGCGGCTGGAGAGCCCAATTTCAGCTCAGAGAGGCTCATGTCACCCAGCAAGTTTCTACACATATAAGATAGTTTCTCATCAACAGTAGGAGGGGCTGGAGCTGGGACTGGGTCTCCTTGAAATCTGCTGTGGGATGGAAGCTGAAGAGCCTGTCTTATTGGGGCAGAAAAGGACACATCTCCCATCAGGTCTCAGCACAAGTAGGATAGTTCCCTGGTTGCTGCAGAGGGCAGGGTGGAGCTAAGACTGAGCCCACTTGGAATTTCCTATGAGACAGAGGTTGGCAAATGTGTTTGGGACGCTCAGCCTTTTGGTTTGTGGGATATGGGCAAGTATCCCTCTGGGTCCTTGTATGAGCACCTCTGAACTGAAACATCAGCTGAGAAAGGCTGGAGCAGAACCACAGAGCCACTTTCAGATTCACTGCTGAGACCGATGTCGGTGGGCAGACAAGTCTTTCTGCCAAGGCACTAGTGTGCACAATTCCTTCTGGACTTCTTGGCAGACAGTTTGGTTGCAGGCTCAAGGCCAAACAAGGCTGTAGCCAAGCCTCAATCCCACAGCACACATACCAAGAGGTCCCAGTTTCAGCTCTGGCCCCTCCTGCTACACTTGGGGAATTATCCTATCTACACAGAACCTTTCTTGGCCATTTCCAGGCATGAACCTGGAAGCAAGATCAGAAGATCAGCTGACCTGGGTGTTGGTCTGTACTCTCAAAACAACCTCCTAGGTCTTGGGCCCTCTCGGGGTTTCACAAACTCCTACCTGAATCCTGAGGCTTCCACTGACAGACTTTTGGTTGTAGATTTGACAATAATTCTCGTACCCATCTTGCAGTTGCGGGTATGAGCAGGTTACCTTCTATTTTGCCATCTTGGCAATGACACTCAGTAAATGTTTTTTTATGTTGATTTTCTGGTCCAGCTAATCTGTGAAATGGAGAGAGACATCATATCTCTTAGCTGTGTTAATCCAAATATCTGAGTGATCAGCCAAGACAAGGTAAGAGTCTGACTTCAAGGGCCCTGAAGGAAGATCCCCTGCCCCCAGAATCATTCCCCTGCCCCCCACTTCTCGATGGCCATTTTAAGAGAAAAGATACCACTATGGAAGGACAGACTGACTCAAAGTGGAGAACACAGTGGAAGGGAGCTAACATCTAATAAGACCCCCATGTGTCAGGTATGAAATGCAAACTCTCATTTCACCCTCACAGCAACTGGAAGGCAAGAGTGTCCAGCTCCCTTTCATAAGTGCATGTACACAAGCATGGATGCAGTGCACAGTGCTGACGTGTGCATTGCATCCATAATGTTGAGGGAGGCCAATCTTGTTAATAATCAACTACTCGCCTCATGTGACAAAATACATGCTTTCCTAAAGAAGTATATGAAGTCACAGATCAAATCCTACTAGTCTGCAGTTTATATTTAAGCACTTAGTAGTTCCAGGCATGGTGCTAAACACTTTACCTAATCTCACTCAATCTTCACAACAAACTATGCAAAACATGTATGTTATTAGCCCCAGTTTCAGGCTAAGATATGGAGATTTGGTGAGGCTGAGTCAGAGTCAGGGTTGCAGAGTCAGGATTTGAACTCATCTCTGCCTGACTTCCAGGGATCTCCTCAGACATAAGCAAAATCACAATAGAGAAAATACTTTAATTATATATTGGAAGGAAAATATTATTTCCTTTAAAAATAAACAGAATCAAAATTACTGAAGTCCCATCAAAGTTTCTCTGTCACCCTACAAGTAGAGAGCAGTGGGAAATAAGAGGGACAGTCAGCTTTATGTTTTGTGCCTTGATTTCCTGCCATGCTCCTTCAGGATATACAGTTGCACTGTCTTCTTTTTAAAAACTCCTATGGAATAGATCAGACATGAATATGGAACTTGAATAGACAGTTCAAGTTTTTTTTCCCCTCATTTCAGGTTTAGAATTCTAGCAAAGTTAGAAGGGAAATCCTTCCACTGGTCATGTAAAATGTTAAAACAAGCCCGTGGGATGACTCTTTCTTTGCTTCTCTGACCTGTACTAGAATCATGTATAAAATGGAAACTCTAATAAACGAATATAACCAAGTGACACAGACACGTATCTGCACACCCACCGTCTTTGTGTCCTAATGCTGATACAGTGCAGCTGTATATCAGTGACACGGTGTTCTTAGGAAGTTGATCAATGATTCCCTTCCACAGTTCAGGCTTTATTATAGGAGGTATTAGTTAGCTAATTACTATTAGTCGAGTACCTTGGTGTGCCTTCTTCAAGAGCTCCTTTAAATGCTCCTCTTTTATTCTACTTTCAAGTCCCAAAAGCAGATGCTGCTTTTACGGAAACGCCTAATTGCTGTGGAATCTGATGTATGTCCTACTTCCATATCCAAACCTCCGCCTTCCTGTTTAATGGACAGCATTCTCATGACTCACGTTTGATTTATGGGCTGGAAGGCGCCACACCTTTTTTTGGTCCTGTCTGCACACATTGTTAAGTGTCATCAACTCTGGAAAAAAGCATTCATGAGTTAGTTATGTCAATAATATGAGACATTAAAAGAGACTTGTCCTACAAACAAAACAGTAAATGGCAAATGCAAGGTTTTGTAGTCCCATATGCCTCTCTGCTGCACCCTAGAGCCTATAATGATTTTCTTCATGTCTGCAGCACGAGGCATCCCTGAAGCTCATCATTAGATAGCATGTACCTCATTAATATCTGTCCACCCTAACATTTTCAATTCTTTTTGGATTAGCAAAAAAGAACAAAGAGAAGTGAAATTTAGATACCTAATAAGTAGTGTAAAATAACAAAACAGTAGCCTATAAAGCAATGGGATGTGGGGACTGTGTTCTGTGGTGGCAGTTGTTGTTTTGGATGGTTCATAGCTCTGAATAATTTCCCAGCATTCACCCAATTTAACGCTACTATGAAAAAATAATGTCTATAAAATCCACATCCCAAATAACTCTTATTGAAGAATTATAATTCCCTTCTTCCGTTTTCCCAGCCTAACAGAATACAAGTTTGTTCAGAGGATGAGAGGAAACCTATCCCATTAAATCCTTGCCTAGCACATAGGGTGTCCTGTGACACAGGTCTGGTTAGGGATGCTGACAAAAGGCTTCTGGGTATTTTCAGGAAAACTCGTGCATTTGTACTCAAGCACTGCTCCTTCCGCCTTGAGGGTCGATGTGAAGGCTAGAGCTGCAGCAGCCATCTTGCAACCATGAGACGAGGAGCAGGGGAATTACAGCCTACAGCTAAGGGTGGCAGAGAAGGATGGCAGGAGCCTGGATCCGGGATGGCAGCAATGCCTCCTTTACTAGCTTCAGACTTCTTATTGCTTGACATAAATGCCCATACACTTCAGTCACTGTTACTCTGGTTCTTTGTTGCTTGCAGGTGAAGGGTACAATAACCAATACAGTCTTGCACACACCTTAGCCTCTGTTTCTGAATTCCCCAATTAAAGCTATACATTTCTCTTAAATTCAGAGAGAAGCTAAGTAGCCATGTTGCCTTTATTTGGGGTCTGGGCATTGACACTCCACAACAGCCTCTTGCTTTCATTACAATTAACTAGAGCTAGATAAATACTGGAGTTAAATGGGGGGGAGGATAAAATTAGAAACATATAGGTAATTATGAATAGTTACTGGATCTCACAACTATTCATAACTGAGGGACAACTATGTATAAAGTCAAGGGAATTGTATGTATTATACAACCATTGTTATGGCTGAATAATGTACAACAGAGTATTATTCAGCCATTTAACGAATGAGGACTGACTGATTCATGCTACAACATGGGCAGACTTTGACAACTTTATTCCAAGTGAAAGAAGCCAGTCACAAAGGAGCACATTCTGTGTTACATAATTTATATGAAATGTCAAGAACAGGCAAATTGAGACAGACAAAAAGCAGATTAATGGTTAGCAGGTGCTGGGAGGACAGTGGGTGGGAAGTGGCCACTGAGCTGGTACAGAATTTCCTGTTCTGGAATTAGGTAGTGGTGGTGGTTACACAATATTGTGAATGCACCAGAAGCCATGAATTGTATATTTTTAAATGGCTAAAATGATGAATTTTATGTTATATGAATTTTACCTCAATAAAAAAAGTCATTTATGCCATATTAATTGTAAAATGATATTGATTCCAGAGAGACTACATTGTAAGAGAAGATAGGGTTGATAAAATGTAATATATTTGATGACACTGAAATTTGGAGCTTTTGGCCAGGCGTGGTGGCTCTTGCCTGTAATCCCAGCATTTTGGGAGGCCAAGATGGGTAGAACCCTTGAGGTTAGGAGTTTGAGACCAGCCTGGCCAACATGGTGAAACCCTGTCTCTACTAAAAATACAAAATTAGCCAAAAAACAAAAACACAAAAATTGAGAGTGTGGTGGTAGGCACCTGTAATCCCAGCTACTCAGGAGGCTGAGACAGGAGAATTGCTTGAACCCAGGAGGCAGAGGTTGCAATGAATCAAGATTGTGCCACTGCACTCCAACCTGGGCAACAGAGCAAGACTCAGTCTTCGAAAAAAAAAAATATATATGAAGCTTCTGCACAAATAGCATTGTGTCAATTCAGAACTGAGTTTGCTGCATTTAGTTTGAAGTTTGTTTTTGTTTCACAGAAGTCCTGCTGTGGACAATCTGTGGCCCATGAACTCTCTACCTGTTTGTACAGGGACCAGATTCTGATAGGTCCTATATTCAATATTTGGCTTCCATCTACAGTGTTACTTTGTGGTCCCAGATGGCTGCTGAAGTACGAGCCATCATGTCCCATTCCAGGCATGCAGCAGGAAGACGGAAAGGACAAGTCCTTCCTCTCAGCTAAGTCGGTCTCTCTGAGCAGAATAAAGGCACAGTTAAGTAAATACATATGTCCAGAGAAAGTGGTGAAAGCTCTAGGAAAGCGGGATTCCCTGTCTGTTTTATCTGTGCACTTGACCTAGCACAAGGCAGAGCACATTGACGATGCTAAAAAAACTGTGTGAAATGAATGTGTACCTTCATGGATAGGGATAAATGCATCATATAACCATTTACATATTTTCAAAAATAATACACAGGGAAATGTTTATGTGAAAGCAGCATGTTATACTATAGTGTAATTCCAATTTTACTGAAAAAGTATATGCCTCGAGATCAGAAATATACTAATGGATCAAGTGATTTTTCAAATATATGGTGAAATTGCTCTGATATTGTATTTCTTCATACTTTTATACATTTTTCAAATTTCTGCAATGAGCCAGAGTATTACTTTTTCTAATTAGAAAATAAATCAATAATCTTACAATTCATCTAGAAGAGGACTACATCAGTCTAATTATTAGAAGCGAATCAGCACAGAAACAGAAAACCCAATATAGCAGGTTCTCACTTATAAGTGGGAGCTAAACCCTGGGTACATGTGGACATAAAGATGGGGACAACAGACACTGGGGACTCCAAAAGGAGGGAGGGAGGAAAGGGGGCAAGGGCTGAAAACCTTCCTGTCAGATACTATGTTCACTGAGTGACAGGATCTACAGAAGCCAAAACCTCAGCATCACACAAGATGCCCTTGTAACAAACCTCCCATGAACCCCCGAATCTAAAATAAAAAATAAAACTAAAAACAGGTAGCAGGGCCTGGTGTGGTAGCTCATGCCTATAATCCCAGCACTTCTGGAGGCCAAGGCAGGAGGATTGCATGAGGCCAGGCCAGCTTAGGCAACATAGTGAGATCTGTCTCTACAAAGAAAATTTAAAAGCCAGGAAAAAATGTTCCCACCCACCCCTAAAAAGTGCTTCCCTCACCCCCAAAAAACAAGATGGCTAGGTGTGGTGGCACATACCTGTAGTCCTAGCTACTCAGAGACTGAGGTGGGAGTATCCCTTCAGCCCAGGAGTTGGAAGCTGCAGTGAGCCACGGTCACACCATTGCACTCCAGCCTGGGTGACAAAGCAAAACCCTGTGGCAAAAAAAGTATAAAATATACATTTAAAAACAAGAAGTAGTGAACGTCTACACCAAAGAGAAGAGCCAACACCCCAGCTGGCAGCTTTGCTTTATTATTTTGGGGGAAGGAGGACGCCGATATCTACAGTGATACTACACGGAGTCATACCTATCCCTGCATTTCAAGGTAGCAAATTGTTTGTCTACTTAATAGCACAACTTTTTTTTTTTTCAGCCTAATAGGTGGGTATATATGCCCATTCTTTAAATGTGAAGACAATTTTAAGGCACACAGAGAAAGTTATCTATTTATCAAAGCAAACTCATCATCTGCTTTCAGATCAAGATAACTTGCAACTGACTGCATTGAACTCGGTGCTTCTAAGCACAATGCATACCCACTGCCACTTCAGAATGTCTGTTTTTCCTAATGACATGGGCTAAATTTTGTAGCCCCCACGCCCCGCCCCTTCCCAACACTTCAAACGCTGACATTTTAAACCTCAGTATCTCAGAATGTGACTACTTAAGAGTTGTGGTCTTTAAGTAGGAAGTAAGTTAAAGTGAGATCATTAGGAGGGGCCCTCATCCAACATGGCCAGTGCCCTTCTAAAAAGAGATTAGGACACAGACACGAACAGAGGGAACACCAACTGAAAACACACAGAGAAGATGGCCATCTACAAGCCAAGGCGAGAGGCCTCAGAAGACACCCAGCCTGCGGTACTTGGCTATGACAGCCTAAGCAAACTAATACTCACCCCTCCTGTTGATTAGATGTTTGGTGACAGTGAGGGTTAATTTGATGTGTCAACTTAGCTAGGCTCTGGTGCCCAGTTGTTTGGTGAAACACCGGCCTAGATGTTGTTATGCAGATATATTTCAGATGTGATTAACATTTAAATATTTAAATCAGTAGATTCAAATAAAACAGATTTCCCTCCATAACGTGGATAGGTCTCATCCAATCAGTTGAAGATCTGAAGAAAAATGACTGAGGTCCCTGAAGAGGAAGAAATTCTGCCTTCAGACTTAATTATGTATCAATTTCTGCCAGAATTTCCAGCCCGCTAGCCAGCCCCAACCTACCAACCCCACAATCAAGAGCCAGTTCCTTAAAATAAATCTGTGTGTGTGTATATATATGTATATATATATATATATACACACACACATATGTGTATATATATCCATACCCATACCTATCTGCATACATGCATGTATATATACATATAGATGTATTCATATACACATGTATATACATATATGTGCGAATATATATATATATACATATAATTATGTCTGTCTGATTCTGTTTCTCTGGAGAACCCCTACACAGTAACTAAGGACTGATGTTTCATATACCTAACTCTGTACTCTTGTTTTATTTAAAATAGTTTAATACATTTTACAAGTATGAGAAATAAATATTTCAGATCATATTTCTCATACTTTTTAAATGTAAAATACATTTACTTATTTCCAGAGTTGTAGATGGAAGAACTGGTCAAATACTTGCACCCAAGCCAATTAATTCATCAGTGTGCTTCTCTGTCATGTTTTAACGATGACCTGGAGCATTGTGAGAGGATGTTAGCAGATGAGAGCCGGGGAGAAGGCAGAGAGATCCTCCGCGGGCCTTAGGGTTACACCCACAGTGTGCTGCAGCCAGTGAATTCCATGAGAATGAACAATCGGGGTTGTAATTTTCAGCTTTGTTGCGAGCATCCTGCCTTTGCCTAGTGATCCTGCCTAATCTTGTTCCCCTGCACATTTGCTGCCTCATTTCTTCCTTCAGAAATGGCAGGTTTTCTTTCTGCTAAGTATATAAACAGCTTCTAACCCAGCGAACAGTCAGCTGTAGATGTGGAGGATTTGGCCAGGAGGAGAAACAGAGAAGTGACAGAGATGAGAGCAGCAGGCAAGCCTGGGGAATGTCCCTGAGCACAGAGCTCCTGGAGGGAAGGGCCCAGGGGTGGGGAGGATGAGGAATGTACCCACATGCACCTGTAACCAGGGACACAGACGTGTGAGCCTCGATGACAGAAGACAGCTGTGTGACCCGAGGCATCAAGAGCTTCACATAGCTAACAGAGCTACATATACCTGCGAATTTCTTTTTTTTTTTAGACGGAGTTTCGCTCTTGTTACCCAGGCTGGAGTGCAATGGTGCGATCTTGGCTCACCGCAACCTCCGCCTCCCGGGTTCAGGCAATTCTCCTGCCCCAGCCTCCTGAGTAGCTGGGATTACAGGCGCGAGCCACCATGCCCAGCTAATTTTTTGTATTTTTAGTAGAGACGGGGTTTCACCATGTTGACCAGGATGGTCTCGATCTCTTGACCTTGTGATCCACCCGCCTCGGCCTCCCAAAGTGCTGGGATTACAGGCTTGAGCCACCGCGCC